TATTCTGCAAAGCAAAGTTGCCTGGGAAGGCATTTCTCTTACTATTTCTCTTACTACATATCTCATTACTATGAAAAAATGCATAGTAGGAAGATCAAGATTACATTCTCAGATTTAAGCATGTACTGTTGTGTCAGCCTGATGGGAAAGCAATAATAGTCTAATCCTGCCCCCTTATTCACTCTGAATACTCTGAATACTATTCTGACCATTCAGCCTATACAGTCAGTACGACTATTCCACAAGAGCAAGGTACAGAAATACTTCATATGAGTAAGTGGGACAGAAAAGGTCCTCAGTGGCTGTGCTGAGCAATCTATGTAAGAAGTAGTTAATGAGGGGCCAGGAAGAGCATGCCAGAAAACTCTCAAACTAAGTTCTAGAAACTTATCCTGAGAAAAGGTTTAGAAAGTCTCTCATAATGCACAAGTGAAAAAGCACCTAAGCACCACTTTTGTTTTAACAGAAATCTTAATTTATTTATAATTAACCTCAAGACTAGGTACCCTTTCTCAAGTTTGCTTTACTGCACAGTATAGAAAAGGAAAGTAGAGGAGTAAATAATGAAATATGTTGTTTTTCATTCCTTGTTACTTAGGAATATTTTATACGTTTGTATTTATAATTGTTCTTTTAGAAAAAAAAGGACTAGCAGTGCCTTATTTCTTGCTGAAATAGACAGTGGAAATGAAATAATTTGGGAAAACCATACATTATATTAGAAGTTTTTTTGTTTGTTTGTTTGTTTGTTTTGTTTTTTCATGTTCAAAAGGTGCAAATAAACAGGGAGTGGGATAATGAAAAATTGTTTCATATGTATGTTTCTGAGGCCTTTGTATTCAACCAGTTAGCGTGAGTGTACTTTTTAGGGTTTTGATGGTTATTTTATTTCAGTTGTTTTTATTTTTTTTCTTTCTTTTTTCTTTTTTTATGAAATGGACCTTGGACTAGATCTTGATCCCAAGTGATGTCTCTGAATAATCAGAAAGCAAAGTAGCTTCCACCATAAAAGTGACATTAGCTTATTTTTCCTCTGGGATAAAGAAAAAAAAAATTAAATCTTAGTGGAAATGACTAGTCATTAAAATGTTTGTCTGAAAGCTTCTTCTGTGCTGCCTTAACCTCCATCTAACTTCTGGGAAAAAAAAAAAAAAAAAAAAAAAGAACTGAGACCAACTAAAGAAAGTATTGTATTTCTGCATGTTTTGTGAACTCTCTATTGCTCCTCAATGTATTTTTTGATTCAAAACCAGAAGAAATACAGATTACATTTATACTTCAGTGGCATATTATCTATCATTAATAGAGCATATTTGCTTCACTGTGCCATATATATATATATATATATTTCATATAAGATACATATGAGATGATGGTTAGAAACCCTCCTTTATATCCTAACTAAAAGAACAACACTGCAGTTGACAGAAAGCCCTACCTGACAGAAAGAAGTGTCAGAGTAGCAGGCATTCCAAATTGGTTGATGTTGTCCACTTATTCAGCAACTACTGCAACTCTTGAAAAAATGTGGTTCAAAGGGATTTCTTTCTCTGAAATTAAGAACATAAGAATAGATGCTATTTTTTTGAAAACAAGTCTTTTTTCGTTAGAGGTGTTGCTGGGTCTTCTAAAGAGGTACTATCTACTTTTTGGCTTGATATTGATGGATAGTTTTCCAGGAATTTAATATAAAGTTGACTGTTCAAAGTGTGAGAGGAAATAATAAAGTAAGGTAGAACATCTTTGGTCACAGGGAAACCTTTTGGGAAGGTCTGAGAAATGAAAATCCATTGATCCAATTTCTCTGTGATTAATAGGTGAACGAAGAGCTATAGTTTTGAGCTGCATTTCTGACCATCCTGTCAGTCTTTCATTGAAGATGAACATTTAGCCACAGGCCAAAGTTTTACTGTATTTTTTTTCTGACGTTGGCCTGTAGAAAAGCAGTCTGTTTTTAAGCCACAGTGATCAACTGCAGTGACAATGACAATGTAATTCTGATCTAATTTTGCAATTGCATTTGCAATTTGCATTTGTGTTTGCAAGGAAATGCATTTCTTTCAGTGGCATACCAGGAAAAATATATGGCTCTTGTAGGATTCACAAACAATTCACAATGAATAATTCACTCAGTGAGCTCAGAGTCTGTTCCTCAACATGGAATCATCATGAGTAGATTATAATTTCCTTGAATACATTCATGATTAGATTGAACTTTTGTGAGTTATTTTCCTCTGTGGATTAACTGTCAGCAATTAACTGCATGCCTGATTCTTGATATTTAGCATTTGAGGTGTGTTAATTTGTGGTGATGGGCCCTTACTGAATGTTACTTTATCTGTATGTCTCCAAAGGAGATTGGCTGGATGACAGCAGAGAAAAAAGAAACAGTTATTAAACAAATATGGGACTTGGTGAATAAGAATGTTGTTTTTCCGAAGAAAATATTTCCCTCTTAACTAGAGCAGAACCAGACATCTGTTATGCAAAATAAAGGTTGTTTTCTAATAGCAACAAGGATGGTGAGGAGCAGCAGTACACTGAATGGGACAGACCGATAACCCGTGGCAACAAAACTGGTGGTATCTTACTTCTGTTTATGCAAAAGATTTTAAAAAACACATAGATGAACAGAAATAACTAAAATCACTGTGGATTTAAGTGGGATGGACTTCTATGCTCAGTTTTGTCTTACTAAAGGCAGCATTAGCTCTGAGTTTAATGAGAGTAAATTCAGTCCTTTACACTAACATTTCCATTATTATTTTAGAACTACAGAAGTATAATTCTACTGTGGCAATGTTTACCTTGTCCTAGTTTATACCTCTTCCTTTGCTTCTTCTATGTTCTAGCTTTCTATAATCCTAATAGAAAGAACTATTTAAGTCATTACATTATTTTATTTGAAGTACTGACATTTAAAAATTTTATGACAAAAATAATTTAATTTTATCTTTCATTTGGGATTCACTTGAATTCCCTTTACTCTATGTCCAACTGAATTCTATCTTGATGATATAGTTTTGTTTTTATAGTTATGTTTATCTAGCTGTAAGATAAAATGAAGTAAGTGTTTCCTGTTAAATGGCTTGCTGTTGTATGTATCATTTCTTTTCACTTTCTGAAGATCCCATTTATTTATTTTTCTTCTGCTATGTAAATTACTTTCTCTGACTCTACTCTGTTATTACTTTCCTTGTGTCTGAAGATTCAGTACAATTGCTGAAATGTTCAGTTAGCTGCTGGGAAACAGAAACACTGGGAAACAGAAGAGTCACAATTTTTGAAGTGCCAGCTCCATTGCAAAACAGTCGTGATCTCTGTCGTGATCTGCTCCATAATTTTGTTGTGTGGGCGAGTGTGATTTTTTTCCCCTTGTGTTCCCTGACTCACAGAGTACTTGATAAAGTGTGTGGAGAAAGAACGGAGAAAAAGTGAGAGCACAGACCAGCCATTGAAGGTGTACTTGGACTGCAGTTAAATGCTTATTCTTCCCTAAGAAACATCCTGAGCAAAGCAGACGTTTTAAGACCCAGAAATGCACAAAACCCTGTCTATGTACTGTAGTACCCTCCTTTCCAGTCCCACTTCTCCAGAAGGTTACTGAGGGCATGTCACTGGCATATGGCACAAGGAGTGTTGTGTTTGACCATGATAGGGATCTATCACCTCTTCAATCTCTTACCTCATCTAAACAATCTACCTTATAGCTTACCATGGAGAAATAGCAGCAGTAAGACTGTAGTGCTGTGGGTAAATGGGTGGCTAGCAGTAAATTACTTTGACCAAAAAAGCTTCAAATGCAATGGAATAATATAACAATGATGTATGAGCAGGTATAATAGCATATAGTAGTAAATAATTTTATATAAAATCATAGAGCAGTGACATATATTTTTTCTTCACTGAAATCTACCATATTAAAAGCGTACTTTTAATATTACCAGATGGATATATATGTTTATAAAGAGAAAGAAAATTCAGTAAAAAACTAAAAATTCATTAAAACTAAAAATTCTGAAGAAAAAAAGTCTGTAAAAATTCTATGATCCCAATTCAAGAAAAAAAAAAAAGGAAAAAAAAAGATAAAATATTTAGTATTCACAGACTTTAAATAATCCAGTTATTTTGCATGTTAAAAGAGATGAATGGAGAAAGAGAAAGGGAAAATGAGACAGAATACAATTTAGTTTAATGTATATCTGTCAAAATTCTTCCTCAAATGATGAAAAACGACAGGCTAAACCTATTAAATAGTCCATTTCATAACAAAAAAATAAATAGTGTTTTAGGTAAATTTTCAGTTTTTATAGTGCCTGATGTGTGATGAACTTGAAATAATCCATGTAAAGAAAACTGGAGATTATGACTAAAGCACTGCTAAAACACTCTTTCTTGGGTATGTGCAATACCCATTGAAGCAATTACAATCACAGAAGGAAATTACAATCTATAAACTACTTTCAAATTGTATTAGCATTATATAGCAGATCAAACATATACTTGAAGTAAATTCATTTGATGGAGCTACATCAAAGACAAATTCGGTTTAGTATATTTAATTTCCACTGTGAGTATTGAACTGGAGAGTGTTTAAGCTCATAATTGGCACACCAATGTATGGAAGAGAAGTAAATATGCTATTAATTAGGAGATAAATATTGACACATAGCAAGATTAAATTATATCAAAACATTAAATGTAACTTGCTTAATGCACTATTAAGTATCCAAATATTGTGTATCTGGAATTGTAATTATATGCCAAATTAACTATATGGAAGGGAAAAAAAAAAAAAGAATTTTTTACAAACACTTGGGACAGACCTGTCCTTACTCCAGCAGCAGTCAAGTACAAAACAGAATTAGTCAGAAATGTGTGTTGTCCCAGCTGTACAGCATGACACAAAGAACTGTTGCACTGCTAAATAAATATATTACATTAAGAAAATCCACATTGTTATTTAATTAATTTATTTATTTATTTTTATTTTTATTCAGTGCCATGCTTCAATACAGGAGAAAGCGGAGTGTTGCTGAGCCTACACTACTACTGTTTTAGAATTTGTCTTTTGACTGCTTTGTGTCAGGCATTCAATATTAACTTCTTGACAACAAAAACACAACAAATTGGGTAAGTAACTTTTTATAGCATGTACAGACATTCCTCAAAACATAAGCATAGGAAAAGAAACCGCTAAGGTAGAAGGACAGACTGTAATTTCTCACACAAGTTTCAGACATTCACAAGAAGTGACATTAGAATTTGCAGCACCATAAGGGCTTTGGGAATGCTCAAAAGCATTGGTAGCAGAGAAAACAGAAGAGAATATGAATCATATTAGTGTCTATCATTGGTTATTTTATTTCACATTGTGCTTCCAGAATTCTTCCTTGTGAGACATCAAGATATTGATTTAAATCTCTATCTCAATTTGCTAATACTCATTAAATTCTAAAAAATTAAAAGGCTGGATGCCTTAGAACCAGGAGATGGAAATAAATTAATACCTGTGGATACAAATGGGAGGTAAAACAATTTTTAAATTAAAACACTTTAATATAAAGAAAAATAAATATATAGCTTTTGACATTTTTTTCCCCTAGGTAACACTATTTTTATTTTTTTTTCTCCATGAGATAAAGAATCTCATGTACTTTAGCTTTTTGTTCATAGTATATTCTATTCACAGTAGCTGAAGTAATGCCATTAGGGCATAAATATGTATAGGCTGTTAGTATAATCACATTAATAGCTTAAGTTCTGCCCATGTAGCTGAAGTAACAAAGAAACCTTGTCAGTTTAGCTATGTCTTTCTAGTGATAACTGCTATACTGGAAATCAGAGTAAGAAATACAGTATAAGAACCTATATATATGCTATTATTGTAGTCATAGGTCTATGTAAATACCTGTCATGAAATATATTTTAATTTAATAACTACTTTCAAATACTTCTACTTAGAGATGATGATTATGCATGTAAAAACTATAAATATGCATGAATTCATGTATGTATGTAAAGGTAAAAGTAATCAGGATAAATACAATAACTTACACAACAAGGGTAGAGATAAGATTATGGCTGGTCCATTAAAGTCTATGAATATCTGCCATTGGCTTCAATTAGCTTTGAATTAGGCACTTAAACAGCAGGAAGCAAATGGAATATTCTATTTGATTATCCTGGTCAACGAGCAACTGAATGCATAAAAATAACTGTATGAAGACCCCTATGGAATTGGCCTCTCTGAACTATGCTGAAGAATGGCAACTTTTTACAATGTTATTCTTACTTATTTTTTTACTACCCAAAGAATGCTGGGTGTTTCATAGGTAATGAACTGACTTCTGTGTCTGCAGTGAACTTAGGTGCACTTTCAGACTTGCTGAAGAACAGGGGTCCAAAAGTGCATATTAATATTAATGAAAAATTATTTCAAGGTTTTTTTTTTTTTTTTATGTTTTCAATTTGTTTTTCACTACAAAGTCCAGCAGTTTTGCTATATTTTCATGAACACAGTCAGTGGCAAGTTCCAAAGGAAAGAAAGACACCAGTGACTTTAAACAAACCATGCCTAAAGTCACCACCACTTCTGCAGTCGTTAACAGGAGGACCCGACACAGGTGAATGAGCACAGTGCTACAAATGATAGGAGACCCAAACAGAACCTGGCTAAATAACATTTAATGGGCTGGGATAGGCAGTGTTTGGGTAATAAACATATCGACTTACAAAATTTACTGAGTGGGTCAGAGGTTAATTGTGGAATTCGGCGGACTGCCAAGTCTCACAGTCCTGCTGTGAATCTCCTCTGCTCTCTCTGGTGTCAGCCACAGCTAAGGTGGTATCTCATAAGGTTTCCTTGACCCACTGCCTTTCTGTATTCAGGGCCAGTGGATGATGCCATTGGGTTAATCATTCCAGATGCCTCCCTGCTGCCACCTCTAGCATCAGCAGTTGCTGTCCCAGAACAACCACCCAAACAAAATAGGAGCTTTCAGGCTGATGGAAAGGATTTTCTTCTGTCTTCTGGGGTGGCCTTCTTAGTCTGTATTTCTTCTCACGTCTTTGATTGTTTTCTCTGCCTCATATTCTTTTGTAGTGGTCTTGTATTTATCCCAGACTTTACGAAGCAGTTTGGATGCCTCTGGATCTGAAAAATATGCCCAGCTATCCTATAGCCAATTGCTGTAGCTATCTAGCAGAAGGGAAAATATTAATTACTGAAAAATACATATATATATACTTTTGGCCTTTTTTTTTAATCCAAAGCTGATCCAAGCCATAAAATTTTTGGTCATGGCTACAGATACAAGGTCTTGATGCCATCTGGAAGGAGCAATATTGGAGGACCTATGTGTTTTCCTCTGCTGGATGTATCTGAGGATATCAGAAATGGCAAGCACTCCCAAGAAACATTTAAAAATAAACTAAACAGAAAAGAACTTGGGTTAGCATTGACAAAAATCACTGTTATATCTAATTTCACTGAAGTGAAAGCAGTATGTAATGCTGATACAAGCAAAAGCAACATGCTTACTAAATTGAAGGTATTGTTTAGTAGTTTTACACAATTGCATGCACAAATGAAATTTCAAGTACTAAGCTTTTTTTTTTTAATTTATTTTATTTTTAAGGTAACTTAAGTAAATTGAAAAATATAAGGTCAAATAGATGCTGGGGTAGATGAGCTAAAATACTCTTCAAAAGCCTAGAGCTATAAAACTAGCAGTCTACCTCTGGGAGTCAATGCCAAAAGAAAACAAATACAGTTAGGTGCTTCTGAACATCAGTCTGACACAACACACAGGTTGCATCTTGCAAAATTAGTTGGCCAGAGCAACTATGCAAAATAAAAGATTCTCTAGGTAGAGAAAATGTAGCTAAAAAAAAATAAAATAAAAATAATATCAACTTAGAAACATAGGCTGTCAAGATAAAGAATAGTGACTAATATCCAGAGCTGAGCTAATACCTGCAACACTTGAGGAATGATGGGCCAGCTGGAGTAAAATACCATTGATGTATTTTACAATAACAATTTGCATATTGATTAAAACCCTTAATTTAGATTGCCTTAGGTTTGCTCTGAGCTGTTATACTGATACCTGCCAGCCTCTTAACTGTGGATGGAAGAAAATTACTTGTACTGTCAATAGCTGTTTACCTATATTAAAATAATTAGCAATCAGAGTGTACTCCACTGGCTTGCACACTGGGAGTCTAATTAACTTTCTTCTTTGGATTTATACATCTACTAGTAAATAAATGGAAAGCCATCCCATGTCCTCCATCATGGGGATGTGTCTGTCATTATTTTGGAAAGGCAAATACCAGTTCAAACAAGGACATGTTTTATGTCAGAGATTTGTCACTGTATCTTTTCAGTGCATCGTGCCATTATGCTCCCTTATTCAACACGGAGCATTATTCAACATGTTACACTGAGCAATGCACTGCAATGACAAAGTGTTAATCTCCATTAAAAATTTAAAAGACATACAGCTATTTTCATCTGGGAAGCTGGTGCTGATTCATCTGCAGTCCTTCCCAGCTGAGGCGAAGTGGCAGCCGTAACTCCCGTGCTATTACACGTTAGTGAAGGACCATCCTTCAGTTCAACTTCCAGCAGCAGAAGCTGGAGAGTAAAATTGTTTCATAAAAGAATGAAGTCCAGTGCTCTTTTCTTTTTTGCTAATATATTGCTAAATGAATGTAGTACGACTTTTCTATTATTTGCAGATGATTGTCAGAGACTTAAGTACACTAGGCATCATTACAATCTCAGACACAATTTTGCTCAGGAAGTGTATCAATGTACCTACACCTTTCTGTGGGTGGGAGGGTTCCAGTTATTTCTGTAGCAGTTTCTGCTCATCTACTCAGGGTTTGGGGAAGCCACTGTTCCCTCCAGGGTGCAGAAGCAGGATTACAAATGGACTGGTGAAGGCTGAGAATAAGAAAGCTTTTTCTTCATGTTTACTGAAACTTCCTTTTGTGATGGTATTCAATTCATACTCCTATAAATATTAATAATGGTGCTTTTCACTAAGAAATGTGTTAATCTGAATAATGAAAACCTGAACAAAAGAAAAAGAGGGAAGAGGCTGATGGCAGAAAGCTTAGGGAGGATGGTGTAGGTGCTCTCAACCAAATGGATAGAGTGATATATACATAGATTGGTTGATTTTTAAAAGATGTAGAAATGCAGATTCATTTCATGTATTTACCTTGGACACAGCACATGAATTGTAGTGACACCAAAGAGCTCAAAAGATCCATGCAATGTTGGGAAATGTAGTGTAAGGCAAAAAGCAATGCAAATCCCAAGAAATCAAATAGCCTGAAGGGACATAGACCATGAGGAACTATGGATTCCCTGACCAAGAAAACAAGACCATGAACAAATACAGTAAATATGGAAGGTAAAAAACAAATCTGGTAACAAAAAAAGACCATAGAATATAAAAATGGAAAAGCTTTTATTGTTTTAATTAAGAAAGATTGTGAGAAATAATGAAAAACATTACCATGAAAAATGTCTGAAAATAGCATAAATTGTTAAAAATGCTTGATGGGTGACAGCAACCAACTATGTTGAAGAAATATCATTTTTAAAATCAGAAATAGAAGAAACAAAGACAAACAGTGAATTTATGTTACAGATCTGAGCACTCAGACATTCTCATGTGGTTATAAATAGGACATTTAAAAAGGGTAGTTTGTGGGGCACGTAATTCCAGCTGACACGAGGAATTGTTGAAAAGCGCGAGGAAACCTGTGTGCTGCTTGTTAGAGTAACAGCTTGTGACTGCACTCAGAAACAATTCTCTTAAAGATCTAGTCTCCTTCTGTTACAAATAGCACAACAGAGGATTTTTGACTATTATGGGGAGTGCCACGGGTAATTATAAATAATGGTAGGCAAATATGAGTGCACTATCACAAAAATTTTAAGTGTAAAGAATGTGAGTAAGAAATAATGCAGAAGAAGCATGGCAAATATTTTTTCAAAGATAATTTAAAAAATAAAAAAAAAAGTAGTGCATCCTATTTTTTTATTTTTATTTTTAAAAGATTGATCTTTAGAATCACAAAAGATAAAGATCATGTTCTGCGATACACCAACA